GCAGGGGAATCGCTTGAATCTGGGAGGTGGAGGTTGCAGTGAGCAGAGATCGCACCACTACACTCCAGCCTGGGAGACATAGCAATACTCCACCTTAAAATAAAATATAAACTAAAGCTACCACCTTTTGGAAAGGAGATTTTGTCTGATACCTAGTTTTATTTCTTCACTTAATAAAACTGTTTTGAAGCTGTTCATTCCATTGGGATGGGACAAGGGAGAAATAAAGAAAGCAACATGACTGTGGAAATTTCCCTCAATAAAATGAACAAAGCATCCATGGAAATGGTGACTTGCTCTAGGGAGGTCTTTGGGTTATGCCCTTTCTTTGCCAGTATCAAAATCTATATATTTCAGTTCACCCATTGCAAAAAAAAAAAAGTGGGGGGAAGGAAATAAGAGGCCACAAAAAAATGAAAAATTGAAGATGAAATATACATACATGTAAAATCTCATTGGATGAAACATACATAAATAGTGGGAAACATCATTTTAATTACTACCTTGTGAATACAAAAGTATTCGACTCAATACTAATGATCTTGATACTGGCACTGAACCATAACTAATGTCAAAAAATTGCAAAAATTCAAAGAACATCACCCATAATATCAATGTGTCCTAACATCAAGGTCATTCTCTAATAATGAGGATTTTGTCCACTTACATAATTTATGTGTAAATGAAGAATATGGATGCTTTATGTTTCTGAAGGAAAGAAACTTTTACCAATTCCAAGTTTCTGATCCCAGGCAGTGCTTTTATTAATAAAATACCAGATGATATCATATTACCAAAAAAAATCTCTCGAGAGTGATTTAAGACCTGCACCACTCTCTCTAAGAATAGCCAATTACTCCTTTTCACACCTCCTCCTGAGCTGGATAAAAATTATCCATCTCCAATTTATCAGCAAATACATTATAGTTCTGGAACCAAGAGTAAAAGAAGCTTTTCCTTAAATTGGCAGCTCTCAGAGCACTGGGCTTTTCTAAATTTTCTTTCAGAAAATTTAGCCCCCATTACCTTTCTGTGGATCCATTTGAAGATTTTATCTGAAGAAGCAGTCTACCTGCTGTTGTCTCATCCTCTTTACCTTGGGTTACAGGGTCAGTTTTCTATTTTCAATTCAGTGGAAATATGTGTCTTTCAAACCAGTGTCAAGATACTCAGATGCGGTCATGGGAAAGTGTTGAGTGGAGTCACCTAGACGGATGCTGTAGAACTTCAGACACATTTTCAGAAAAGATGGCTTTGAATGTTAGGTAGGCTAGACTTGTGAATTGAGTGAATAAGCCTCCCTCAACTTCAGCTGTCATTTCATCTGTTTTTTTATTTTTTATTTTTTTTATTTATTTATTTTTTTGAGACGGAGTTTTGCTCGTTACCCAGGCTGGAGTGCAATGGCGCGATCTCGGCTCACCGCAACCTCCGCCTCCTGGGTTCAGGCAATTCTCCTGCCTCAGCCTCCTGAGTAGCTGGGATTACAGGCATGCGCCACCATGCCCGGCTAATTTTTTTGTATTTTTAGTAGAGACGGGGTTTCACCATGTTGACCAGGATGGTCTCGAACTCTTGATCTCGTGATCCACCCGCCTCGACCTCCCAAAGTGCTGGGATTACAGGCATGAGCCACCGTGCCCGGCTCATCTGTTTTTTTAAAAGATCCACTGCAAAGCTGCCAGAGCTTTAGCAGCTAATCAACATTAACAGCAAGTGTGAGGAAGTCAAAAGATCATTTATTAAATCACTAAGATCAAAGAAACGTAAGTTCGATGTGCTGAGGTGCCTACTGTACGACAGGCACACACAATCTCACTGGTTGATTTCTCACTATAACCTTACAATTTTTTTTAAAAAGTATTTGTTCCTATTATATAGATGAGAAAACTGAAGCTCAGAAATGGTGTAAAACTTAACCAAAGTCACCAAGCTTCCAAGTAAGCGGCAGAGGTGGGGTGAAAATTTTGTTTTGTTTGTCGTCAGGATCCCTGTTTTTTTACAATCTACCTAAGAAGGGATGATATTCCAGCACATGAAGTTCTGTGTTCTCACTGGGAGGTCAGATAATAAAGAAATCACTGAACCTCTGAATTAAAAGGCTCAAACAGGGTCATTATTGTGAAGAACTGAGGAAGTTATATCCTGCAATGAATAATTCTGTGTATTGTGGTTTTCTAATACAAGGCACACAGGCAGAGCGGAGGTGAAATACAGGAGTGGGGGACAAAATAAAGATCAGAGTTCAAAAGAAGAAGAGGAAGTCACACAGTGGAGGAAGAGCAGCTTAGAATGTATTATAAACAGATAAATGCAGACCAGCTCAGAACTGTGTTTTCAGCCCTTGTTCAAATGAAGCTGGTTTCAGGCTGCAGGTAGTAATGGCCAAGTTTTCACCTTCACATTTATACCCAGCTTTTCCCCCAGAAGATCATTCTTTCAGCTGAAAGAAATAGGAGTCAGAAGCTGTGCAGTGGTGCATGCCTGCTCAGCTTATTAAAATATAGGAAGAAGGCAATATTTCACCCCCCAGAAATAAAAAAAGATAGACAAGTGAGAGCAGCTAATCCATCGGAAGAAATTAGCAGGCAGAGTATGTAGCTGTTTGAAATGATGAACGAGGCTGAAATAGCTACACAGGCTAACATCCAGTGGGATAATTACTCCAAGCTCTCAGGCTAAAATCTGTCTTGGAGGAACTGGGAGGCTTTGATGACTCAATTTCAATGGGCATGCTTATGAAATACATAGTAAAACCTATTAAAATTGAAATTGTTCTTGGTAGGTATTCTGCAACTAGGCTGCTGACCCTGTCAGGCGGCTTTTAATAAGGTACACACTATTTTTATTCTCAAAAGTGGCATGTACTTTAGCTGCCCACATACTCAGTTTTAACCCTATGATAACTTGCTCCATGATTTGTCCACACATGTGTACTGAGCATACTTGTATTATTCTTAAATAGAATGATGAGTTTCTGAATGAATGTGGACATTGCTGGCTTTTGCTGTAACAAAAGCTGCTTCTATTATTCTATTAACTGGTTTTCCAGCTTCATATTTGTTATTTGTTGACAAGATGATCATATTTAACATTCATGGAAACATATATAAATGTTTCCTTTATGCATATTTGCCAATCTAAAAAAACCCTTTGTTTTCCCACTAGTGGTTATTGTGTTATGCCATGACCATCATTAGGCTATTCACGTGGAATATATCCAACTGTAATCCAAAATAATCCTCACACCTCTAAATGAATTAGAATTGACTAGATTCCACTATCTACATGCCTAGGCATAACTGTTTTAAGGAAAGTATCAAAGGTAAGGAAGAAGCTAGAGGATTTCCAGGGCCATACTACTCAAGTGTGATCTCCAGAACAGCAAATAGGTGTCTGGGAGTTTGTAAGAAATGCAGAATCTCAGGCCCCTCTAATTCTATTGAATTAGAATTTGCATTTTTACAAGATTCCCTGGGTAATACACATGCACTTTCAAGTTTGAGAGGCACAGTATTCTCATGCACAACTGAGTCAAGATTTCTATGATCATTTATCTTTCAAGCAACTTTGTGCTCAGCCAAACCTTTTTCAAATCATATTTTGAGGGACAAAAGTCTCTGTGCTCTTAGAGATGTGTCCCCAACTATATTAAGTTCTTATTTGTTCTTTTTGGTTTTTTTGTTTGAGATGGTGTCTTGCTCTGTGGCCCAGGCTGGAGTGTAGTGGCACAATCTCAGCTGACTGCAACCTCTGCCTCACATGCTCAAGGGATCCTCTTACCTCAGTCCCAAGTAGCTGGGACTATAGGCATGTGCCACCATGCCAGGCCAATTTTTGTATTTTTTGTAGAGATGGCATTTCATCATGTCACCCAGGCTGGCCTCTAACTCCTAGACTCAAGCCATCTGCCCATCTTAGCCTCCCTACGTATGGGGATTACAGGCATGAGCTACAACACCTGGCGTAGATTCAGTCCTTTTAAATGAGTATTTGTTACTGATTTATAAAGCCTATAGTAAGAGAGCCTCTTCAGGTTATCCTTATGGGTGTATGTCTGAGCCCATCCTTTTTTGAGCTTCTTCCATGCTATACATCCCATACCAACACTCATCACCCTTGCTTCAATTTACCTCCAAATCACTCTCCCTCATTCCACAGGCTGATTCATCCAACACTATCGCTAAATGCCAATAACCTTCACCTTGACTCCTTTTTAGCTACACATTTTTAGGGCCACTTCTTGGAATTTTTTGGCATTTGTTTTTATCTATCAGATCCATAACCCTGGAAGTCTTAAATTCTCTAACCATAACCACTTGGCCTTCCAGCGGTCTCTGCACTCTACTCCAATGCCATGAATTCTTCTTGGCCTCTTCATTTTAAACCCAATCTGGACTCTGTGGTTGATTACAGGAACTACTATGAACTTACTTTCTCACTAGCCTCTCAATTTCCTTTCACATTTGAATCTCTTGCACCAAGCCTCCCAAATCCAAGCTCTGGATCTAGGTACCTGCTAGAGGAAAATCAAGCAATCACACAGTTCTGACTGGTGTATAATTTCAGATCTCTGCTGCGACTGTTACATGGTTTGACCATGTTAGAGAAAAATCAAGCAGTCACACAATTCTGGCAAGTGTATAATTTCAGATCTCTGCTGAGACTGTGATATGGTTTGGCTGTGTCCCCACCCAAAGCTCACCTTGAATTGTAATAATCCCCATGTGTCAAGGACTGGGCCAGGGTGACAGAACTGAATCAAGGGGGCAGTTTCTCCCATACTCTTCTCGTGGTAGTGCACTAAGTCTCATGAGATCTGATGTTTTGGGGTTTTTTGTTTGTTTTTAAGAGTATAGTATTTTTTATTCACTGATAAACTAAAAGCCAATTTCTTGGTATTTCTCATGTATACTTCATTTATTTTATTAATAAGCAAAGCCCTGTAAGGGAAGCCTTTGCTTAGTCCTCCATCTCTGATTCATCTTCATCCTGACTAATCGGAAGTAATGAAGTTCCTAAGTCTCCTTGTCAGATGCAACCACCCAAAGCCAATCACGAAGATTGTTCTTCTTAAGGTATTTCTTGGTAAGGTATTTCAAATACCTTTTAGAAAACTGTTTCTCAGAAACAACAGTGATATTATTCTTGAAGCGTTCAATGTGAACAACATTCCCGAGATTTCCAGTTTTGCCATTAACTTTAACCTTCTCCTGTAGAAATTGCTCAAAATTTCCAGAATCAAAAATTCCATCTTCTACTGGATGAGTAAGGTCCAAATTAAACTTCCAGGTGGACTTCTTGGGCTTCTTATCTTTCTGCGGTGCCATGTTGCAAGTTGGCTGCGTGAGCACAGAGTGAGATCTGACGTTTTATGAATGGGTGTTCCCCTGAACAACTTCCCTTGCCTGTACCATGTAAGATGGGACTTTGCTCCTCCTTGCCTACTATCATGATTGTGAGGCCTCCGCAGCCATGTGGAACTGTGAGTCCATTAAACCTCTTTCCTTTACAAATTACCCAGTCTTGGGTATGTCTTTATTAGCAGCGTGAGAATGGACTGATAACAGACTGCAACACCACTTTTATTCAAACATTTTCTTGTCTTTGATCAATCTACTCTCTCATTTCCCTCAACGTACCAAACCTTTGCACCATTCTTCATTGCTCTTTTTAACCCTTATGTCTGCCCATTCTTCAAGAGATTATTATACTTACTACTGCATACATAAAATCGAGGCATTCTATTCTCACTCATTCCTACCTTTTTTCTTCCAGTTTTAGTGAAAAGAAAGTCTCCTTTCTCTTCAAGCCCTGTCAGTGTTCTTAACCCCTTCGCCTCCTGCCCGCTCCCAGACAAAAACAAGGAACTGACCTTCTCCTCATAGCTGTCTATCTTCAGTATAATTCTCCCTTTGAATCGAAATTTCTCTAAAGTGTAGTTTTCATTTTATATTCTCAATGTGTAGTTCAACCTCTGCAGGTCTGATTTGCATCTCCTGATTGCACTTTTTAAAAATTCCACCTTCTTACTGCCAAATTGGCATTTTATTGTATTTCTCTATGGCATTTGATACCTGTGTCTATTTTAGTAGCATGCAAACTCTCCATTCTGCTGGCTGTCCTCCCTTCTCTGGCCATGTCTTCCTTCTTGCTCGTAAGCTCCTCTTTCTTCTCCTACCTTTAAATGTTGGCTTTTATGTAATACATTTATCTCAAGGCTTAACTGGCTTGTTATTTTGTTCCTGAGTGACCAGATTTACCCCCTTCTCTTAGTCTTGGCAACTCTCTGTATGCAAATAACTAACACATTCACACCTTTAGACCAGAGCTTAGGTTCATTTATTCAAATCCCCTGCTGGATATGTCAATCTAGATATTACTCAAGCACCGGAAACTCAATGTCCAATAGAAACCTGTCTTTCCCCCAAACTTCTTCTGTATTTCCAGTTTTCCTTCATGGTACCATCATCCACAACAACTCCAAAGATATAAGTTATTCTTGATTCCTCCTCAAACAATCAATTATCAAGGCCTTAAATATTTCTGAACTCTAATTTTTACTTGCTCTTCCTACGAGTTTAAGTCATTTTCTCTCATGAAGATTTTTACAAAAACCTCCAGCTTCTATTCTTGACTTCTTAAACTCAACTTTCCCAAGTCTGGCAGAGTCCAATATTCGTTAAGTAATTTATTTCACAAATAAATAGTATGGGCCACAAATATTTATATTTATAGTACAGGGGGAAAGATTATTAGTGACTAGGTAAGTATGGTAGCAATATACAATTTAATACTATATTAAATTCTATAGTAGAATTCTAATTTAATACTATATTAAATTCTAGCAGGTGTTGGCCATTTGTTTTGAAAATTCTAGCAAGGGGTTGGCCATTTGTTTGGAATCAACCACATTCTTATGTGGTTGAAAAAAAATGTTGCCAGGTGCAGCAGCTCACACTTGTAATCCCAGGACTTTGGGAGGCTAAGGCAGGAGGATTGCTTGAGCTCAGGAGTTCAAGACCAGACTGGACAACACAGCAAGAACCTGACTCTACAATAATAATAATAGCCAGGCATAGTGGTATGTGCCAATAAGCTGGATCACGAGCTTAGAAGGTCAAGGCCACAGTGAGTTATGGTCATACCACTGCACTCCAACCTGGCTGACAGACTAAGACAATGAAGAAAGAAAGAGAGAATAAGGAAGGGAGGAAGGGAGGGAAAGAGGAAGAGAGAAAGAAAGAAAGAAAAGAAAGACAAAATTAAGTGACACATGAAAATTCAAATTCAGTGTCCAAAATAAAATTTTGTTGGAATCCAGCCATGCTCATTTATTTATGTACTGTCTATGGATGCTTTATGCTATAACAGCAGAGTTGAATAGCTGTGATACAGACTATCTGGCCAGACTATCCGGAAATTCAGACATCTCAAAGTAATTAGTATCTGGCCTATTACAGACAAAAATGGTATCTGCTTATGGCATTTCTAAAATTAAATCATACAGTAGCCCCAAAGAAAAGAAAAATGATTTCAAGGTTTTTATAGTTTATAGACTCTAAAATGCTTATTTTATGTATCTTCAAATAATACTTAGTTTACTAGACTTTAAATATAAAAGTTACCTCTGTAGTTAGTTCAATAAATGTTTGTTGAGTACCTATGTGTAGCAAGTACTTTTCTAAGCACTGAACATACAAAGATAATAAATATAGGCCAAAGAGCTAGAAAAATAATCTCCGTAAAATTAACCAAGATTATGGAAAAGCTTACAAAAGACTAAGGGTTATGAAAGACAGGAGAGTCCTTAGCCAGGCAGGAATGTTCAGGAAAGTCTTGCTGATGGAAGGAAGCATTTAACTAGAACTGGAAACAGCATGTTCTCACTCAACCCAGTTACTCTAATAAAAGTAATTCATTCATAATATTCATTTATTCTTGTCCTCTAAGAAGTCATAGGAATTATCTCTTTTTAAAAATGATAACATTTTAAATATGTTGAAACTAGATAAATCAGAAAACTTTCATTACTTCACAACTGTTTGAAGACTAGTATTTTCACCAGGTTAATGGCCATTGCCATTTGAGCCTACAATCATAATGGATATGGAAAATAACATAAATCTGATGAATGGAGCAGAACGCAAATATTTTATACTTGTTCACTGGGTATGTGTGTCAGATAATTGTACATTGACTACTCTCATATCTCAATTAATTCATTCAGGATGACTGGATATTAGTGAAAATAAAAAAATGCAAACACCATAAAAATGTTACCTGAAAGAGTATTTCATTACCCGTAGAATGTAGAAGACATTGCTCTCATTAGTGTCTTCTACTAAATTAGGGATTTATGCTGTTGGACTATTTGTGGCTTAGTCAAAGCTCATAAAAGAGACAGTAGCCAATAATGGAGAGGAAGGATTTATTAGCAAAGAGCCAAGTCTCCTGTCTTTTTTTTTATGTCATGTTGTCAGAAATTACTTAGACACATTTCTTCATATTTCCTTCAGGAAACAGGAGAGAACATGTATTTTTAAAAACTCACTGACTTTTTAAAAAGAGTAGATTTAAATGTAAAGACCCTTAAGCCTTTATATTGGCCACTAAAATTTCACTTGTACTGATCCACATACCAGATGGAGAGACCCTTAAGTAACATGATTTTTAAAATTATTTATCATTTCTTCCCTGAGTTATACTTGCTAAGTCCACCATCTAGATGAACTTAAAGAGAAGCTGAATTCTTGACTGGAATGCATGTTAACAGACAAGATCAGAACTGGGAAAGAGTCATAATAAGTCATCCAAAATACTGTGCTATTAATCACCTACCACAGTGGACAGTAGCAGCATGCGAGTCTGAGCATGCTGAGTGTTTCCATATGTATCATTGACTTTCTCAGGCCCCATCAGTTTCCAACACTGAAGCTTTGCCTATGCAATATGGATATGTTGGACAAATGGACAATGACTTGCTTAGAAATCAACAGAACTTGAAGGTGGGATAGATATAAAGGTTACAGAGGAACGAGTGATTGAGAATGACTGTGAAAGTCTAACACCATTCTAATTTGGCAAACATTTGTTTTATAATTTCTTGATACTATAGTTTCCCAGGCTTCGTCTAAAGCCAAGACATTTAAGGGATCTTTAGCTAACATAGTTTATATATATGTATATTTTTTCATTTTTTTTTAATTAAAATAATTTTTAAACCTGCTTCTTTTTTTTTTTTTTTTTTTTTTTGGAGACAGGATCTCCTCTGTCACCCAGGCTGAAGTACAGTGGCACAGTCATGGGTCACCATGGCCTTGACCTCCCAGGCTTATGTGATTCTCCCACCTCAACCTCCTGAGTAGCTAAGACAACAGGTGTCCACCACCATGCCTAGCTCATTTTTGTATTATTTGTAGAGACAGGGATTTTCCATGTTGCCCAGGCTGGTCCTGGACTCAGCAACCTCCCAAAGTGCTAGGATTACAAGCGTGAGCTGCCACAACGGCTGGACTTTCTATATTTTTAACAGACTACTTTATTTCAATTTTATTACAAAGGATGTTTTTACTTAAAACATAATACAGAATATACTGTGTAAAAATATTATATCCTCATTCAAAAACACATTTATTTTTATTTTTTTAGCAATGGGGTCTCACTGTGTTGGCCTGGCTAGAGTGTAGTGTCTATTCTCAGGCACCATCATAGTGCACTGCAGCCTCAAACTCCTGGCCTCAAGCATCCTCTTACCTCAGCCTCCTGGGTAGCTGGGATTATGGGCCTGCCCCATTATGTCTAGTAAGAAAACATTTTAAAAACACATTCATGCCTTAGAAATAATATTAGGTACCATATGCCTTGGAAATAATAGAATCTAAAGCACATATATCCTTTAGTAAAGAATAGCATAGAATGCCATAACATTTATAACATCTTTTAAATTAAATAATTTAATTACCTTTAATTTTCTAACTCAACCTTAATTTAATAATTAAAAAAGTTTTAAAGTACATAGAAAATATTGGCCCTGATTCATGTGATTTAAGTTGCAAACTTGAGTTTTAATTTTAAAATTTCTAAGATCTTAGAAATATCCAATGGAAGTATCATTCCTGGAAACAAAAATATTTGTTCAGTGCCTATTATACATAAATTAATGTGATAGCTAACTGAATATACACGAGTGTCTGAAGTTACGTATCATCTAGTGATAGAACAATTCAAATGGGATGTATTGGACTGAATATAACAATTAGGCTTTTTCTTTGTCAGAATTGCAAAACTTATTTACTTATTTATTTAGTTATGTATTATCTTAAAATTTAATGTCT